TTACGATTTTATTAACTGAACACGAGGTCGCCTCTCGTACGAGGTCGGCACTTGCGATATACTTACAAATTCTTACACAAATTCCTTACAAGTTTAGAGAGAGAAAATGTAGAGAGAGTTGAGACAGTTGGGATTCAACAACCCAAAATAAATGCTCAGGACTCCTATTTATAGGGTTCTTAAATATGATACTGTTTTCAGGTCTTGTTGTATAGTAGCTTGACAAGACAGGCCGGCATTTCCCTGACTGATTAGGAGTGATTTAGGGATCTTCCAATCATTACCTGCAACGCATTTAATGTTGGTATGGACTGCATTTAATGCAGACATGCTCCTCAGCCGGGCTAGACGTCCTACACCTGCAGGCTAGTCTGGGTCGTCCCATCGGTAATCATTCGTCGACAAGTGGCCTTATTTAATTGTTTTCTGGGTCCTTAACCCCTATGGGGACCAATCTGGTAGGATCTCGAGCCGGATTACGATAGTCTCTGCCCGTCCTCCGGCTTTTTAGACCCCATGTCGGAACTGGCCGGCGCCATAGTGTGGATGCTGAAGTGCCGGCCGCGGGACATTGCATTGTCCGTAAAACTGTTGACTTTGACTCATACTCAGCTCGTCTTCCGACCTCCGTGGTTCCTCCTCCACTCGGCACTGGGCCGGACTGACCTCGCAAGAGGGGAGTTGAGGTGCCGACCTCGGGACCGACTCTGACCGCCGCTCCTGTTGACTTCGACATGGCACTAAGCCCGGCACCTACGAACAAATTTGGTGACCGGCCCCATCAGTCCGGTCGGTCACCGCCCGATTCCCGGTCTCTCAGTTCGTTACCTTTATGGGAGCCCGATCCGGATATCAACAATGACCGTCACATACTTCAAAGGAAATCGGCCACTTTATATCAAACCGGATTTATTCATTTTGCCATCTTTATACTATAAATGATTAATTAACCTCTAGAGGTGGGATTTTTGATTTTTTTTTAAAAAAATTTACTAAATGTAGTAATTTAAAATTTTTTAGGCGGGATTTTATCTTATATTTTAAGTAAATACAAACTTTATATCTATATATAGATAGATAGATAAATAGATTTGGCTTGATTCGTAAACCTATTTAAATAATATAGTAAATTAGTAATCTATATATGTGAAGTGTGAATGTTAAATCAATATTATATCATATACAAAAGAATTAATAACAAACAAAAAAAAAAAATATGAAGCTTTAAAATATAGTCATACCAGCTAAATCAATCTAACTTGAAATTTTCAAGTTTTGTAGCAATGAACGTTATTTTTTTAACACAATAACAATTTTGATTGAATCAAATCGGTTTGTTAGGCATAAAATTTACATTGCACCAATGTATAAGCCTTTAGCATAAACTTTATATCTTAATTTCAGTGTCATTATTAATTGTCACTTTGACTTTTTTAATCTAAAAATTTTGAAAACGAAAAATAAAAATCTGTTTTCAATTTTATATATGGATGTTGCGGCTAAGTGATATTAATTGGAATATGGATATTGAATGTTGTGGTTGTGATATTTATTAATGGAGGATCTCTATTTATATTGAAATTAATAGGAAAATATGTTTCCCTAATAAATTAAAATTATCCTAAAATAAAATCAAAATATTTTTGAAATTCGAAATTAAAACTCTATTGGCGGGATTTTTTGATTTTTTTCAAAAGAAATTACCAAGTTTAATAATTTTAAAAAATTTAGGCGGGATTTTAGCTTCTATTTAAAGTAAATATATATATATATATAGATGTAGATACTTTATATTTTTTAGCTCAGGAAATAGTTTTTGAGATATATTAAACAGTAGTTGTGATAATAGGTTAGGTGATAATGTCAAAACAAATATTTGATGTGATTTATTTTTATAAATGTTACGAAATTTCACTTTATAAATATTTGTAATCTAATTAAAGGTTGCAAAAATATTTATGTGGATAAATGTTCAAATGCCATTAAGAATGGTGTACTTTGAAAATTCTAATAAATGGTTTTGGAATCTGTGGATAAATGTTCAAATGCCATTAATATGTTCTACATATTAGTGCAACAAAATCTTGATCAAATATATACAATTGTTATCTGATGTCACAATGAATTGGGTGATTTGTTTTAAATTTTCTAAAATTCAAACAGGTCATTTAGAATTTATCCTATCTCATAAAATGAATTCATATATTTATGATTTATGAAAATTTTAAATATATTAACCCTAAAAAAGAAATTTAGATAGTATTATCAATAATTTATGATAGAAAAATTTATGCAGTCGGGATTTTACGAAATTTCTTATCTGACAAAAATAATTTAAACCATCCATATAAATTTGGATTCTTTTCAAACTCGAAGAAGGTAATTTAACCGTTCATGTAGAATTGTATTCTTTATAGATTTTTAAGAATGTGTTGTAATTATATAAATATAGACACCCAATTGATGGTGTGATTTTTTAAACAAAAAATTGAAAAGTTTCTTCGATTCTATAAAAAGGTGTTGTAGTTTGATAAATTTCTACAACCAATTGTTGTGGTGGAGATTTTACAAAAGTAATGTTGTTAATGAGCAAAAAATAATGAAAAAAAAAATTCCAAAACACGTCATGGAGTCATAATTTTGGAAAAGAATTAAAAATAAATTAGGTAATCATAATATCTTGAATAATTACCGTAATTAATTATCTATGCTATCAATAGCAATAAATTAGTTACTATACACATTAAAAAATTAATATGCACATCTCATAAATAAATATTATACATATTATATATTTATCGTAATTAATTATCTATATACATTAAACAAATATTAGTCATATTAAACAATTAGTCATATACATTAAACAATTAATATGCAAATCCCATAAATAAATATTAGTCATCTTAAATGAATAATGACAATAAAAATAAAAATAAATAAATAAAGAAACAAATATTATGCGCATATATTTTCGCTCAAAGAGAAAAACTGTTCACGCACGTCTCTGCCAAAGAATCGCTCAGTGGGCAGTGCCGACTTTCACGGTTGGAAAAGTTTCTGGGCAGAAACACGCAACTTTTTTCTCCGGCAAGAGTCATCTTCTCCGTGCAGCAACACCCACGCCTCTGACCTGGCAGTCTGGCACTGGCACCCTCTCGCAAGCCTCCTTCAGCCATATCCTGCCAAAATCCGTCAACGGCGTGAATCTTTCATGTCCGGCGCTACTCTCACTCAGACTTTGCGCAAGAGGCAACCAGTCATGGTGAGTTCATGCATCTCCAGCAGCCCGCACAGAATTCCGGCCAGCAACTCGCGTCCGGCGTCTATCTGTTCAAGCCGTCTCGGCCCAGCACGCTCGTCCACGCACAATCAATGTCGAGAGTCCACTTCAACTTGGCCGCGTCACACGAAAAATCTTGCCCAATTGTTCTACCCAAAAATTTTGCCACAAATGCGTCGGTCATCTTCTCCGGCCTTCCTGCAACTTCCGGTTGTCTTCTCCGGCCAGCACGTCATCTTCTTCGTCTCTTCCGGTCAGCATCAACAACATCTACCCTCGGAACACCCATGTCCATCCGGCACTTGGGAGCTCAACCACGAACAGACGTGCACAGTTTTCTAGCCGAAGCTTGCCCGAGCTCAGTCGAGCATTGCACCTCCTTCTCCAGCCGTCCCTAACATGGCCATCACTAATGAAATTCTTCAGCCTGTGTGTACAGCACGTTCGGTCCGCCCGATACCCAACATGGCCATCACCCGGATCGACATGGCCATGTCTAGCACGTTCGGTCCATTCGGCGGTAGCAGGACCGATAGCAGCAACCGCCATGTCCGACGCCTGTTTGACATGTCCCTGATGCACATGGCCGGAGATGGTGGCTTTGCTGGACCGGGAGCTCATGGCGATTGCCGGCGGCGATCTCGGTGGAGGAGGAGGGGAATTTCGGCATTGAAAATTGGGAGTTTATATGGAAGTTATATAAGATAAAAAAATGTGCGTGGGTTTTTTTATTAAGATATCTACAAATATTTGACAAACAAATCTCACCATATCTTCAAAAAAATAACTCGCGGGCATTAATATAGGCAAAAAACAATGAGTATAATCTTCAAAAAAATTGGAATTGAACTGGGCGGGCATATGAAATTTTTTGAACAAATCTTTTCTCATTATAGTAAATTTTAGGCGGGAATTGAAATCTTTTTTTTGCTGATTTTTTAGTTGATTTTTTCAAACAACTATCATTCCCTCTTTATCTATTAATAGATGTCTACTTTTGTTCATGTTATCTATTAAAAAAATATTATGATTAACCTTTAGACCTACCTACAACAATCTTACCAATCGTGAAATATTAAAATTTTCGAGACGGTTAAGATTTGATTTTTTTGTTTAAAATTATTCTTTTTCAAAAAGAAAATAATGAAAATGAAAAAATGCACCATTAAAAAAGTGGTTAAGCCTTTATTCACCAATATTGACCCTTCAAACCATTTTAAAATTTAAAAAGTTCAATACATGACCACAGTGCAGCATTTCANNATATCTGGACAACATGGTTCAGTGTTTTGAAGATACAACTTTTAATACTCCCCTCAACAGAAACAGCATTGCCTTTAAGGAATGCTATTCTATTTCTTCAGTCCACCCTTTTCTAACAAGATTTGTTTTAAAATATTTCCCCAGCATTAACAAACCCTCTTCACCTAACAAAACTTGCATGACACAAGACTCAATCCTCAAAGTTTCCTTCTTTGGACAACCTAGAAGATTCTGTCCCATTCACGTGCGGCTGGTTAGATTCATCGGCACTCGAGGAGCCCAAGATACTGTAGTCAAAGTCAAAGTCATCATCATCATCATCTTCATCTTCATCTGAATCCCTGTCTGAGTCATCCTCGTCATCATCATACTGCTTCGGCTTGATCCCAAGCTTTTCCCTATGTTCTTGCTGCTTAATGGCTTCCTCATATGACATCTCATACCAAACAGTACCTTTGCCGACAATAGACTTGTTGTGGGCATCCATCATTCGGTCTTGCTTGCTCTTCTCCGAATTTTTGGGCTCCCCCCAATAGTCATATCGGTAAAGAGGGTTATCTTGGTCATATTCGTCTTTTCCAAAGTAGCTGGGGTCCACGTACCTTCCGGGCTCTTCCAGAGGAAGCCCCACTGCCTGCCGGCTGCACGTTTTTAGAATGAGATAAGGGCTAAAAGTACAAATATATCCGCTCAAAATGAGTTTTTTTTTGTTAACCAAAGTTAATTTTAAAAAAAGTGGTATGGTTAGTTGTTAGTGAGATTTTGATTTATATTAAAATAATATTTAAAATAAAATAATTGAAGTTGATTTCATAAAAGTAGTAGAGAGATGATGTGAAGTGATGGTTAGTTAAAATTATGTGAGTAGATGAATAATAAATTAAAGTTGATGTGGTATGTAAGAATGATTGGTTGATATTATTTTATTATATTGATAATACTGAGGATAGTGGAATTGAGTTAAAGTTGAGTTAGATTTTCAATATGAATTGAGATTTTTTTATATACAAACACACCTGAGTATCTGAATAAGTTTACTCAAAGTATGGGGCTAATGATAGATCAATCATCAATAAATAAAAGATGGTTAAACTATCGAACACCAGAGGAATGAAACTACACACCAGCTAATATCACGGAGGAGGGCTTCTCTTTCTTCAAATGATCGGCGCCAGTGAATGAAGTCATATTCGTCCATTTCCTCATTTCGCCTTAGCTTAGTGATTTTGTATTCCTCTCCTCTTTCTGCAGCTTCTTTCCATAGTTTTATGTGGACCTGAAACAAAATAGAAACAAAGATCAACAGAGGGCCAAAGGCAGCTCTCATTAGTTGATTATTTTTAAAAGCAAGCCATGTGATGCATAGACAGGTTCTAAAAGCGTGGATTCTCATCATTACAGGAATACTGATTCAAATGACCACTTATCGGACAATTAGGTAGTAAATTGACAGATAACCATTCAGGCAATATATTTATGGTTCCATTAAGATAATTCAAAATTCGTCTCATTTATGCTTATTCTAAGTCATATATCCTTTTAAAGTGGCTGCAAATTGCTTTAGTATGTAACCGTAAAAGCCAGTACTTGATAATTATTCATCCAATATGCCCACTTGATAACTTTAAAAATGACATGTGAAGTTAGTGGTACTGTGGTACTACAATACGCACATTTCACCTGACTATCAACCTTTTTTCTGTCCAAAAAGCTAATTAGAACAGCTATTTGCCAAACAACTTAATTAGAGAATTTGACGGATTTTGACCCCAACTCTATCATTACCAAGCAAGGTCAATATTTGTTCAAATAATATAAAAACCAGAATCACTTACTGATGAAATCCTATTTTCTGCACTTCTCATATTTTACAGAACTTCGAATATTAAAGCAAGGTTCTGCATTATCCACGTTGTTTGTGGTGAAAACCGTTTCACAAGTTCACTATCACAATTTCCTAATTCATTGGCTGAGACTCAAACAAATGGGTTCATAAGAAAAACATAAGCAGGTGGTTAACAAACCTGTCGCTCAGCATGTGCAGCTACCAGATCAAGCTCCTTTACACTTGTTTTCTGGCATGGAGTACAAGCTTTGTCACATTAACAGTTCAAAGGCACAATTTCCTAACAAAATAATAATAATAATAATAATAATAATAATAATAAAAATAATAATAATATATCATTACCAGCGTTATTCTTGGGAGTAGTGCTTTCTTATAGTATGCTTTTCCATACTCAACACTATTCTCCTCATCGAACTCTTCTTCATCAGTCAACTCTGATAACTTTTTGTCTTTATACTTATCAGGATTGGCCCCCATATCATCCAGGATCATCTGCTCAGCATTATGTATCTGCCATAACTGCAAATGAACACAAAATAACAAGGATATAGCTTCAATTGTGCAACAAAAAATGGCTGCTAACAGAAATTCTAAAATAGTGGCCCAACACTCATACATGTAAAAGCATAATGCGATTTTTTTGGTTTCCAGATTGAAAGTTGTTTGAAGAACTGCAGGCTTGTTATCCAGCCAAATATAACTGAGGCCATGCATAGAAGTAATTGGCACTTGATATGGTTTAATCTAAATCGGTAATAATTCGTAAAGAGTTAAGTTTGCTTTTAATAAAGACCTTTGGAAGAGGGATTAAGAAAAAACACCTCCAAACTTCAAAAGCAACACATCCGACTTGCTGAGTTACAAAAATGCACACCTCATCATTTATTGAGAGTTGCCTCAAAACCTTTTCTTAGATTGTCTGTCATATTCTAAAGTTCTCCAATTTATATGATCGCGTATGAACTCATTTTCAAGGTTAACCATTAATTATCAAGATTATGCTGTGATTGTTATGTGCCATCGTTGTCTATATTCCTCAACATTAAAAGTTCTAATCCAAATTCTAAAGGATTCCTGACTAAGTCCCGAAAAGCAAAATTATTAGCAATTCTTAAAATACGAAATCCAAGATCATCCTTCATATGCAACATTATCCATAACCTCTATCCAACAGCAGGACGCTGAAGTGATTTAGGAGTACAACCTAAATTGTTTGCTTTTACAGATCACTTAAAATCTAGACAAGTATAACATGCAGGCGCTTCTGTTATCTCAGTTTATATCAAGGCTGAAACTACTTGATTCAACTTGGGTTATCGTGTCAAGGCCCAAGCGAGAGCATCTCACCAGAACTTCATTACAAACTACCCAATTTTAAATTTTACCAAGTATCATTTCATTTTTATGAAGCAACCACGAGTATTGCTGGTCCCAAGGAAGAAAAAAATAAATGTTTCATATCAAAGACGATGACAATATCCTCGCATCCCATCTAGTGTAGTTCCTGGGGCTAGCTATCTATCTTTCTTATTCTGTGGAGAATTAAAGTAAGCCGACCTAAAACTGGTTTTTGAAATGAAGACTGGCAATCATATTATTCTCTTAGACCAAATTTGCTCAAGCAAGTCCTAGTAATTTTTATTTTTTTAAGAAAAAAAAAAAAAAAAAANGTGCAGTTCACATTGAGTAATAAAAGTATCATCCATACATTGAATCAGATTAGCCAAGTAAAATAGTATTGGGCAAATTAAATTGCTTTTCCAATAGTCCAAATTGTTAGGTATTAGACCTCATGTCATTGTCTATGTATTCGGAACTCTCTAGTTTTCTTGTGCTAAGCAAAGTTCAGCACAACAGCTCAAGTTGACATTAGCAAAATGCAGACGTAGAAAATATGCTATGGTGTAGTAAAAATGAAGGTATATACAAAACGTCTAAAGAACTCAAAACAAATATGAATGGCAAAATAAAAAAGATATCTAGCGACTTATCCATTTGGGAGTACATAAATGATGGAGTTCAACATAAAAAGTGAATTTACATGCAGCAATGCAAAGATGTATCTGAGTTATATAGAACATGTACTTCCACAGGACTCTTTAAAATATTTTTTCATAGTATAATGGAAGAGTATGCATCTCGGAATCACCGTAATACAGTAAAGTTAAATCAAATGAATATACATAAAAAAACCTTATCAACATATGGGTGATTTGACAATAAAGGTTCCTCTTCCCATTTGATTCCAGGATCTTTTCTTGGTATAGGAGGTCTTCCACTGTCACGCTACAAAACAGGATAGCACAAAAAAGGCAAATAAACATAAAACTGAAAGCAGCTTGAAGATCCTGGTTGGAAGAATCAATAAAAAGAACAGGAAATTATATGCATGTTCCAACATATACACAGAGAAGAAGGATAAAAAAAAAATGGTGTGGAGCACCGATACACAAAATACTAAATTTCTTAACAAAGTCGAAACAGCAGACATGCTCAAATATTCCCTAGATAGCCAAAACCTAGAATCTCTTTGATCATGAATAATGTCATTGCTCAGGAACATGTGTTGTAGATTCTATACTACTTATAAAAGATGTAACTGCAGAAGCTAGATCATTTACATCCGTGTAACCACTTCACTCTACAAACTAGAATCTGAAGATGCTACGTTTTTCATATAATAAATTCACTAAATTACTTGTCGAGTTGTCGTGACATACGAACACTTCATTTTTGGTATGCGTATGGTTAGTAGAACAAACTTCAAAAAGGGAAAGAAAAGTAAAAGGAATAAGAAAATCGATTTCCCGCAGAGTAGGGAGTTCCTCACTCGTAATTCATCTGGATTAGAATCGCGGTGAAATATTGGGGGATAATCAAATTTGTGGAATCTGCAAGCACAAAATTATGAAATAGTTTAGCTGCAAAATAAGTAGATTTTATTGATCATACTTCTAACAAGCAGGACGCATACAACTGTTCACGTATAGAAAAAGTATAGAGCCTGACCGATAAAGAAAAAAACAATTCCTATGAAGATTGGCCACATATAAGGAGATATAGTGCCCCAAAACTGTAAGTTTGAGAATTTAAGAAACTCACATTAGGTGATCTATATTGGGTTCGACAAACCGTAGCTCAATAGGGAATCGAAATCGATACGGATCTCTTTTTGCCTGCAGGTGAAGGAGATTATTCAAAATGGCTCAGCATACCATAATAATGGATGTCTGATTGCTTAACAAAAACAAGAGTCAAATGTGTATATAAAGGTTTCCACAACTAAATTTGCTAAGTAGTTACCATCTTATACTATGTAAGTTCGAAAACCAGCTACTTGCTCTCCCCTTTTTTTTCGGATAGCCACAAATGAGAATGTTGGGCTAATAAATGTTACAGATTATTGGATGAAATAATGAATTTGGGGTTTTGCTCATTTTGGCTAAAAAATAATACAGATAAAGCAAGTAATAAACCGTGAATATAAAGCATAATTAGATGGCTCTGAGATGACTCAACAGTCATTGTCATTCCTAATTTTAAGCATCTACTTTTATAGTATGTGTGGCCAAGTCTCCATAATAATAACATCAGAAGCTGTTTTGGCTTGTTTCCTGCTTTAGGATTAAGGTCTAAAACTATAGATGTTTCACCCATGGACCCCTTTTCTCTCTAACGGGCAATACTTGTTTCTCATATCCCTCACTTTTGAGAAAGTTTCCATTACACTGTCTAAATGATGTTCTGAATCCTATCGGAAGTGAGCAACAAAGTGCAAATTAAAGAACTAAAAAGACGTCAGGGATACATTGCAGATACACTCACCACAATCTCAACAATGACATGCATGCCAACTTTGATGTGATGTCGGATCCAATACCAGTCATTCCGCCTGATCGGGACCCACCTGAAATTCATTACTACATTATCATTACCACATTACCAAAGGAGCAACATTTCTCACTTATGATTAATTATAAACGAGTCACTGCTATCTGGTTAGTCTGTCGTGATTATGTGATGGTTAAAGGTTAATAAAGGTGGGTAATACTTTTTGTAACAATTAACGCTTAAGGGAAACTTACTGAACTTTGGCAGAAGTTGGGGCCAAAAGACCGATGGTTAGCTACCTGAATGTTTCTGAAGCATTTAAGGGAAGCTTTACTGGAACTTCAACATTCCTAACGTAGACTAAAGGCCATATAGTCAACCATTTAGGATAGATTACATTATACTCAAACAGTTAGATGCCAATACTCAAACTCGACCACAGGGTTGTCAAAAAAAGTGTCTTAAACAACTGCAGATCAGGTTCATATTAGATGATTGACTGAAAAAGAGAGCATACCCATCATGTACGCCTCCAATGTCAACAAATGCTCCTTGATAAAGTTGTATAGCTGTTACTTTACCTGCACAAATCTGGAAAAAAAAAAAATCATGATTGCCTGCATTTCTTTCCCAGATGAACTGAAAAATGAACATCTCATCAATTTATAATTTTAAATTTTAACCAAGAAAATCAATAATAAACTAAGAGAAATTTAATGCAGGCAATCAATAATAAAACAAAGAGATACCTATGCATAGAAAATTAGTCAATCACTGCACATCCATTACACATTCTGCTTTCTTTCTTATGCAGATCTCATTCTTCTCAATTCTAATATACGGAAAAATGTATGTCAAGATTCCAGGTTACCAACTAAGTTAATCGAAGCACCTTAACAGAAGCCATGAAAAATAATTTACAAATAATCATAGATTTAAATGACATGGTTTCAAATGAAGCAAAGAAACGCAACTGAGCTACAAACAAAACTCTAGCTAACATAAGAATTAAAGTAAATCAATGTAACCCACAACAAAGGCAAAATCAAAATGTTCACACCGTTGGCAGGAACCAAGAAAAATCAACTATTATTTCGCACGTTTCAAGTTTGGGTCTAACAAAATAGATATAAGGCTACATAGGTTAAGATTAAATGAACAGAAGACAACATTCCAGTTCACTGTTTACTATGGAGGTAAACAAAATTGCACAAAACAGAAGAGAAAAAAAAAAAAAAAATCGAAACTANGAAGAAGAAGAAATAGAAAGAGAGCAGTGTGAGATTTTGAGCATAAACTCCACACTTTACGCATAAAAGCAAATAATAAAAATATTAGCAAGAAGTACACATCAATAAAATTCAACTGCATACTGTTATGAAAGATGTACTTACTTGTTCGGGGTAATAGAACGGAAGCTCATACTGCAGGTCCACAACAAATCAGGGGAAAAGGAAAACAAGGCAAATATTGTGTTAGAAATGTTGCGATATGTAACGCTATATATTTGCTTCTGCGTAGGAGGGGGAAACATAAGAAAATTGAATAATTAATAAGTACAATAAAGCACAATATTCTGCTTACCATGTCCTCTTTATAATCCTTTCCCCTTTTCCTCCTGCCGGGATAATAATCTTGGTCTTGCTGTATAAGTCGTAAAACCTTTGTAAGTTTCCTTATAGTATAATTAATTTACTTTCATCCACACACATAGGCACAAAGAGGTAAAGGGTGCGCATATGTTACTTTATACCAAGGCCTCTTTACCTTGATTTAACAATCACATGTACACCAAATTCTTACACGATGTGTTAATTACAAATAACAGCAATGTAACCTGGACATGCCAATTGTATACAAACAAAAAGGCTTACAGATCATTAATTATCCATTTAACAGAGTGCCTGGCAACTTGAAGCAAACAAATTAGTGTCAAGCTTTTCCAGCAAACCAGGGTATCATAATGACTTCTAACATACACAGATAAACCAGCGGAATTCATTTTTTGATCCAATCACTAACACACACAAAGTGCTAAGAAAAAAACAACTAAATCCTATCCACGAACCACCATAAGTTCCCACAAAGAGCTCAGATAAAAACAACTAAATGCTATTCATAAATCACAGAGTCCAGAACCAACCTCATAGGATTCCTCCTCCAACCTATCCCTGTTGGCCTCGACCCACTCGTTGTACTGCTTCAAGAACACCTTATACCTCTCGAAGCTCATATCCCCCGTATCCTTCACCTTCTCCGCCCTCTCGTCCAGCTTCTCGTAATCCAACCTGATGGCTGAATGCAGCTTGTGGGCCCCACGAATGAACTCCAGCTCCTCCCTGTCCACCTCCCAACCCCTAGGCGGCCAATCTCTGGGCGGCACGAGGCCCAACACCAGCGGCCCACTCCACAAAGTCTTCAAAGGCTCCGGGATCTCGCCCTTAATCTCAAACTGCTTGGCGTAGTACTCATCCTCCGTGAGGCCCATCTCCTTCATCTTCTGTTTCCGGTACTTGGGCCGCAGCATCTTGAAAGCCTCGATTGCCTCGGGGGTCTGTAGGGGCACCTCCTCACCTTCGTTGAGGGATTTCCGGGCGAAATCTGCTTCGGGGGTGAGGATCTCTTCCCAAGGGGCCCATCCCCTCTCGATCCAGTTCTTTCTGCGGGCTTCCTCTTCGGACTCTGTCGACTTGGCCCCGAAGGACTCGAGGAATGCGTCGTTGTCGCCGACGGGGAACTCGTCGGAGGAGTAGGAGTAGGTAAGATGTAAGTTCAAGCGTTTGGCGGGCAAATGGGATTTTTGGGCTGTCGGGGGTTTAAGGAGGGGTTTGGAAGGAAGAGAGGTCGTGAGGAAGGAAAGGGCCTGGATAGCGTGCATTTTGCCGTAGCGGATAACCCGGGAATGGGTTTCTTTTTGTAGATAAAGTAAGACTACAAAACATTCTGATAGGGATTTGTAACCGGATCATCAACTAACCGTCAATGATAGTTGATCTAACGGTTACAAACCCCAACGGAATGATTCTGGGATTGTAGCATTTTCCAAAGTTTACATATATTTATTATTTATTTTTTTATTCATTTATTGTACTAGTATAAGGCTATATTTGGTCAAATTAGTTGGTAGCTGATAAGTTAGCTTATAGTTTATCCGTAATTTTGGAGTTTATAGCTTATAGCTTGACTTATAGCTAAAAAGCTAGTTTATATAATAAAAGTGTTTGGTAAATTAGCTGATAAACTAGCTAAAATAAAAATTTCAACGAGTCTATTTGAAAAGCTACCTAAAGAAGTTTATGAGATAAGCTCGAGCTTTTTAAAAAAACTCGTCCTACCAAACGAAACTTATTTAAATACAGGAAGCTTATAAGCTAACCAAATAAGCTATGAGCTACCTTATTTGTCTACCAAACATAGCCTAAGTAGCAAGTTCACATGCTCCGAAATCCTATGTGGCAAATTTTAAAAGCTTTGTTGTTAGACTTGGACGAATTTTAACTTATTTCCAATCCAAAAGTAACTAGACTTGAAATATTCATAATTATACTGAATATTTATGTTCATTTTTAAGAACATTAATTATGTTCTAATATCATTTCCTATTGTAGATGTGGTTTATAAGGTATAATTTGTTTTCTCTATCTTTCTTTTATACTCATATTTTTTTTAAAACTATAACAAATTTACTACGTTAAATCTATTACTATATAATAGCACTAAGGAAAAATCTAAAAAAATCGTTAAGATTCCCGCCCAAATTTTCAGTTTTTACTACTAATGAAATTATTTTTTGAAAACTTTTGGTTTTTCCCGTCCATGGTTTTTTTAAATATTTAGAATTTTTGAATGTAACATAAATTATCTTTTTCAATAGATATACATTTCATCTTATCTTGATGTCTATATTTATCTCAATTTTATCCTTGTTTTNTTTACTTTTAAATTTCAATCCTAAGACGTTGGAAATATTTTTTCTATTTTTATTTTAACATTTATTATATACAAATTAAAATATTTATCAATCTTTCCAAAAATTTGAAATCACTGTACTAAACTAAAAAAAAGAAAAATTCAAAGTACTCTTTAATTTAAACAATCTCAAAATTTATGAGAATACCAAAAAACTATGCTCAATTAGAAAGAATTTGGAATTATAAAATAATTACAAACCATCAAAGTAGCAAATAAATTATATGATTATAATATCTATATTGTTCTGAAATCAAATATTTCATCAAGTAGTTAAGTTTTCAAACATTCCTAAAACTTTTTAATCTATATATAAGTAATTACAATAAAATAATTTGTCGATCCTTCACATTTTTATTTTGTGCTCAATAGTTTTGACAATAAAATAGATACTTTTTAACTAAAACCTTTATAATTACATATCATGCTTTTAAAAAATATATCTATAGATAAGTTTATAATAATAACTAAATAAATATTAAACTTTAATAATAATTAAATAAATATTAAATTTTTAAGTTTGAATATTTCGTATTTTTATTCAAAATCCTTCACATCTCTGATGTTATGTGGAGCCTTCTTAATTTTCTTTGGAAATGTTTTTCAAAAAAAAAAATAGAAAAATCCCGCAATTGGCCGATATATTTATGGTATGTTCTGTCTATATGCATGATAATTAATTAATTGCTTAAATTTTATACGAATTAATTATTTCAATTAATTAGTTGTTTTATTTGCATGGTAATTGATTATGAAAAATGCATAGTAGGAAACCAATAATGAGATGTTTTAAATAATAATTATATTTAAAATAAAGTTAAAAAAAGTTTTAAAAATGGGACAAACAATAAGCAGTGTGAGAGTTATTAAATCTCGCGTAAGCAATTAAATATTGTTGTAATTCAAAACTATCATCTACCCCATGACAATTAATTCATATATAATGATTGTCTTGCAAATGATCGGACCAAATACTATAACAAATAGAAACAATTTGATTTAAATTTTCAAATGTGCGCCAAAATTAATTTATTCTCACCCACTTTATTTCAAATATTGCAGGTCAGAGTAGTACGTGGAACCCAAGATGCAGCCGAGTTTGAGCAAAAGTTTCATATAATTCAGAATTAGTGAAACTAAAAGGAATAGATGAAGAAGAAACAAATTCGTCTAGATGACGCCTATGGTTTGCATCAGATTATTTAAATAAAGAACAATAAAGATGTTTCAGCAAATCCAGCCCCAAATGCAGTGCTACTTCTCGAAAATTGAATTCGGCTCGAGTCAATGCCCATTTCGGCCGGATGATAGGTTTGTGCATGTCGTTGCATAGTTTCGTACCCATTACCACTTTTGAAAGCATACCTCTTCGAATTGTCGGGCAGATAGTGAATGCAAATACATATAAAATATTTATCTGCCTTACTTGTCTCGGGGACCTTCATAAAATGCCTTGTTAGCATATCGGATGTCAACTGTTAACCCCCTACTTTGGGCCCGACGGCCGCCCGTTGACCATCCGTAGGAGTGTCATTCGGGAACTCGAAGCCCTAGAGAATATTTTGTATAGTTTTAAAGATGTGTTCGACCTCTGTATACCTCCGCACTAGCATATTCATTAGGTACGCACGGGACATTTGGGTATACCGTCGGCTTCGGCAATAGATGACCACTCGTAGATGCTAAATTTTTTCGCTTTGGTGGGCGTCCTCCACGAGAACTCGACATTTTTGTAACTTAAATAGAGTTTATAAAAAAATGTAACAATTATATAATAAATGAGAGAAATGATAGTATCGAGGACATTATAAAAAAGATAATGATGATAACTTGGTGTAAAAATGAAAAGGTGGAGGGGGGTATTTATATAAAAAAAAAAAGTATATATTTTTTTTTAATTCGACGAACCGGCGATTCAAAGGGTTCAATCAAACCTTGACCATTGGATCTCCAACGGTCATATCATCAAACGATCGATTTTGAAAATCCACCGTTGGATATCCTGGCCCGCCAATTTTGGTTCTGGGCCCAATCTGACCCAAAACTGACAAAATAAGTTTACTTTATTTTTCAAAATATTAGATTTTTAGAAATCTAAAAAAAAAAAAACGTGTCGATTCATATCGGAACCGACAATCCAAAAAAATTTAATAGTCTTGAACCTGAAATGACCTGGACCAAACGAGGACCGGTTCATGGACTATGATCAACGGTCCGAGCCGAAACCGTGGACGGTAAAGTATGAAGGCATTGTTGAACACTTGAACTTGAACCTATTTGATAGGGTCAACCAAATTTTCGGTTCCCGCGCTTTTATTAAATTCGCGCGTCAAAGATGGACACGCTCATAAATCATATGACAAACATTTGAGAATCGAAAAAGTTTACCCAGAGAGAGAGAGAGAGAGAGAGAGAGAGAGAGAGAGAGAGAGAGGGTGAAGAAAGATGCTTGGGAGAGTAAGAGCATCGACGATGTGCTCTTTGGAACTTCTGGAAATGGAAAGGCCGCCTCCCAAAATCACCAAACACGACTCCCTCTCCATTTATGGTACCCAATTTCTAATCTTAATTGATACATTTCGTTCGAGCTGCAGATCTATCATACTCGTTTTTTCTTTCTTGAATTGCTTCGGATTTTATTATTTTTGTTCTCTTCGTTTGATGTAGTTGATGCGAAAAGGTGATTGCTTCTGGTTTGGGGAAATTTTTTTATGGAGGGGATATTTAGGGATTTGGTGGGGAGGTCTGTTTTTACTGTGGAAATGATGGGTATCTTCTAGAAAAGGGCCTCCAATTTCTAACTGATCTAGTGCTCAATGTGAAGTACTAATCTTCGCAATGAATTAAGAAATTCATAATTAGATTCCTATCGGGTCTGAGAATTAATTTTAAGAACAAACTCTCGAGTGGTTAAGCATTCGAGTCTCAAGCAGTTTATAAGAAATACACATATATAAATAAAAGTGAAAATCTTTCAATTTTCGATTATGTAATACGGCACGAAGAAAACAAAATCATGCTCTGTAGGATTTGATCCTCCTTATTTCTGGGGGTTTATTGTACCTAATGGTTGCAGGAAAATCCCTTTTAGCGGTCTAGCTTTCTCCAGCAAAGCTCTGGCAATGTTGGCATTTTGCTTTATTAGATAAAAATGTAGCAATTTTCTCATTTTACACACTGTGAACCCAACCTTTTTAATTCAGTAATTCCAAAGTCTCTTAATTGTTATGCGTTATCGAAGCTGACGTTTCAAGGGTCAAAGAAAAAACAGTGAAATAAAACCTCGATTTAGGGAATTTGAAGATTGATTGCTTCTTAATTGCAATGGCTGACATAAATCTTTTTACTAAAAATAGGAACCGTACTATGTAAAAAGGATGAACATTGTATTTACCGCATAAGCCGTATGTTTATGATGCTTTGTTTTACTGCTCTAAGAACAATTCAAATTAAGTAATAAGCTTCTTAGATTTTCTTCTTTCGTCGAACATATTCCCCAAATCCAAATGCTAGGTTAAATGCTGGGATTGAGTTAATTAGTGTAAGGGTTTGTTTCCTTCTTCATAGATTAAGGTTGTGCAAATCAGATGGCCCTTTCCTTTCCAGAATCATATGTGAAGCTAGGAATCGAACAGCCTTTGAAAGGTGTACTTATTTTATTTCAGTACAATGGTACATGGAGCTAATGATACTATTTGAATAATTAGTGTGTTGAAACAAAATAGAAATGATCTTCACATCTTTCTTCTTTTCCAATTGTTGTAGAGTCGACTCTTCTGAAACTCAAGCAAGGCTCTCATTGTAACCCGAGTTGCAGCACTGAGGACTCAGCCACGATTGACAATGACACACATTGTATCATGACAACTGATTTGCCTAACGAGGCTGCAATTACTACTGATGCTGATTGTTCCTCAAACTCGAGCTCAGTTTTTCAATCTACGGACTCATCAAGGGAGCAAGGGAGTAAAAATAGGTCGATTCTTTATTTCTTCTCTAAGTGCAAGAGTTCACAACATGCACGAGACTTGAATGAGAAAGAGGTGATGATTATTGATTACTCGTCTTCTTCTTCTAGCAGTTGATTGTCGACTAGCATTCTGTTGTAAAAGAATTAATTGCTAATTTTGGTTTTTT